TAACTACAAAAAGAAAAATCGTCCCCAAATGCTAAAACATTTGTGACAAATTTATTTGTCATAAAATTATATTTTTTTTAGTTAATAGTATGTATTGTCACAAAAAAGGTTATCTCTCCCGACAAAATAATATCGCCGCAAATTATTTTACTTCAATCAGTGTCGACATCAATTGTCTCTAAAGTTATATGTATTAACAAAATTTAGTTTCATCACTAATGACTATATTTTATATACAAGAAGTTGTGTTGTTCTTACATATATTAAATAGGGGAAATTTATTATTATTAAATACCATTTTTCTTTATCTCTATTCTTTTAACCCCTGCGCAGGAGCTTCAACATTATGCTTTCTTGGGAACTTGAACTCACAACGTTAAGGTTAGAAGTGAGGAGTGCTTACAAGCTTATCAAATCTCTTTTCTGTCTCATTTTTATTTTATTTTTAATTTCATTCACTTCTTTAAAATTTAACTTTACTAGATATAATATATTATATTATTATTCATACACATAAACAAATGCATGAAATTACCACCCACAATTCATTCAAATGTAGATTATATTTTAAATTATATTATACATTTTTTAGAATATCTTTAAATATATTCAGTACAATTTTGTCATTTTAATTATTTATATTTATAAATTTAAAAAATTATCTAGTAAATTATAAATTTATCAAAAATTAACATTTGATTTTATTTTTAACAATTTGAATAATTGGTTCAATTTGATCAGTAAATCAATTGTGCTTTCATTTTTTTAGTTTATTTCAATTTGAAAAAAGTTAAAAGAAATTCATGAAATATTCCGCACCTTTTCAAAGTCTAAGTTTGTAAGTGGATGTTATCTTTGTATAGTTTCTGTACCTAAGTCTGTGGAATTACATTAAATATGTAATTATTTTTAGATAGAAGCAAATAGATCAACTTAATCTATGAAGTTTACCCATCAGAAATCAATGGATACATACAAAAACTACACCAAGACTTGAGAAATTTATTTTTCTATCGCCTTTATCGATGAAAGTGTATGAAATAAAAAAAGTGTTAACCCAACAAATATTAGTGATCTAGTGGTAGAACTATATCATACTCACGATACTTCTAACCTGGATTATAGTTTTCAATGATACATTTTATAATTGCGTAGTTTTAAAAAAATGATTGAACGGCCTTCATTTTCACAAAATCGACTTAATTCGTTTGTTTTAATATTTTATCTTGTCAATTAACGAATGGACTATGTCTATTTCTAATGAAGTAGTTCTACATTATTCTTTTTACAACTTATCACTTGTGACTATGAACAATTGTAGCAAAAAACATTGAATTTACCTATGATTTTTTTCGTAGCAAATAGTTGAACTATTCACTACAAAACTTAAGTGATCGCCATTTAACACCTCACATATTTTGTGACAATTTTTTTGTTGTCACTAAGTGACATATTGATTAGTGACAATAAAATATTTGTCACCAATTATTTATATTATTAGGTACGAAAATAAATGTCATAATTAAATCTATTTTTCATAGCTAAAACTTATAATATTTAATTACGAACTCTAATTTGTCGATATTGTAACAAAATATTTTTTAGATGAAATTTTTTTGTCTCCTAAAATTAATAAATTTTATGACAAAAAATAATTTGTCAAGAATAAGATACATTATTAGTGACGAAATAATGTGTCACCAATAACTTTATGTTCGTGACTAACACTACTTAACAAAGATGCCAATCAATTTTTTGGTGAAAAACTTTATTGGATAAACTTTATTTGATGTTTCGTCTCTAAAAGTATATATATTATATATTTAAGCATGAAAAATAAATTTTACCACTAAAAGCGAATAATTATTGACGAATTTTATGTCGTAGCTAACAATTTCGTAGTTATATATCATATTTGTTGTAGTGTGCTCTAAGCTTGAAAATGAAGGAGAATGAGATTTCTAGCGATGGGATGATAAAATCTTGTGGATTATTGGCCAAATTCACCGTTGCAAGCCCAAAAAATCAAAAATGAAGTCGAAACCTCTGTGCAACTGCTTGGAGCCTATGTAGGTTAGGTTTTATGAATTGAGTAGATAAAATGTGTGCTCACTGCATAATAATTTGAAACAGTAGTAGGATTTATGCGTAGGCCTTCGTGCTCCGAATGATTTAGGATTTACAACCCTAGATTGAACCTTTAGACGATGAATTAACACTATGGTTGAATAAGGATTTGCATGAGGTGTGCGACTAGAAATCTAATGTAGTGATGATTGTGATTCTATGATTGTGTAATGTATTCTTGTTATTGCTTCATCATGATGCATGTATGGATGTGAATGTCGCATTGTTGATTCACACTTTTCCTGAATGAGATAGACAAATGATTATATGTCATGAATCACTCTTGATTGTATGACTTAAAGTATACTTGTTTTTGTGATTGTAGTGTGTTGATGGATCGGATTTTCACGTTCCGGCATAACTTACTTGAATTGGATTGTCACGTTTTGGCATAACTAACTTAGATCGGATTGCCATGTTTCGACATAAAAGAGGGAATCAAATTGTCACGTTTCGACGTAACTATGGGATCGAGTACCACATTCTGATGCACTAACAGTTCTAAGTTTGGATTCCATGAGATGACCAACTACTTGCCATACTTGTGATAAATATATATTGTTGAAGCATTTGATATTCAGTATTGTATATATTTTACTTCTGTATTTGATGTCATGGTTGTGTTAAATCATATATGTTGTACTTAGTGGTTGTATGTTGTGATGGTTTAGGTTTGATTGTCCTTGTGATTGAGCGAAGACATAGGGTATAGTAATAGGGCAAAGACATTGGGTATAGAGAAAGGGAAAGGGATTTAAGTGACGCGTTGTAATTACGAAAAGAAAGCAGATGTAGCGTTTGTGAGGAAGTGTGCTTAGGTGGGTTTCACCTTGGGGGAAGATATTGGTGTTACTGGTAAGGAAACTAGTGGTGATGTGATATGTGACCATGATTGACTAGAGTGACGAGAAAGTAAAAGTAGGTTGATATTAAGAAGACAATTAGTAATTAGAGAATTTGTGTTCTAAGTAAGGGTAAAGTTGGAGAAGCAAGTGTTTTAATTCATGATCTTATTACATGATATCTTGTGTTATATGTTTGGCGTCGGGTTGACCGATGATGCCTACCAGTATGTGTGTTTGTACTGATACTATTCTTGCTATGTCTTTTTTACATAGTTTGGATGCAAGATTGGTAACGTTTCATTAGGTTCAGACAAATAAATTCTCATGCAGTTTCTATTCTTCCTTTCGCATGGTGGGGAATGTGTTTTATTTATTTTATCTCATTGTACTCTTAGTAGCTCTTGTACCTGTTTAGACTAGATCCATTGGAGTTGTTAATTACTTTACAAGTTTTAACGCAAGTATGTACTAAACGGTTTTTATAAAAGTCTTGTTCTCGATAATTATCTTTATTTTTCTTAAATTTTCCACATGTTTAAACTTTTGGATATGAAAGGTCTCCTACTTAGATTTTACGGTCCGGTGGGTTGGGTTCTGACAAATAATAATATATTATTCTGAAATAATTGAATGTTGGCTAATCCCACAACTGAGATATTGCACCGTGGGAGGTACTAAAACTGACACATAATCATATGACCTACTACGATGAAGTTCAATGTATAATCCACATCAAAAGGCCTAATATACTTTGCTCAGGTATAAAGGTTGAGTTGAGCTAATATAGATCTGCTAAGCTAATGTTTGTAAAAGACTAGTTAGCCTCAACTGAAGGGAGACCCCTTAAATCCTACGGTGACATGTAGTTCTGAGATTCAGGAATCACTACTAAAAGACCCAGCAGGTCTGATCACGAACCTTAATTTCTAATTTTGTTTGGTGCAAAGTAAAACTCTTATAGAAGAACATATATTTTAAACTGAAGCAGAAATAAAATACTAACTTATATTGAATAATTGATACTCCCTCTGTTTAGAAAGAATGACCTGGTTTGACTTGACACGGAGTTTAAGAGTATAAAAAAAACTTTTGAATCTTGTGGTCCTTAATTAAAGTTAGGTGAAATGTACATCACTGTCTTTTGTTATTGTAGCCTTAAATATGTCACGTTGAAAGTTGAAATTAAAATGTTACCCAAAAAAGAAAGAGGCCATTTTTTTTTAAACAAACTAAAAAGGAAATGAGATCATTCTTTTTAAACAGAGGAAGTAATAAGTAAGTACCTCTTGAATCATGATAAAACTAATGAAATATTGATATACAATTTATCTAAAAATATTTAAATCATGAAGCCTGATAAATGAAAATGTGATTTAAATATTAACAATCTTCAAAAAGATTGAGTAGTAAGATTTGCTCACCTAGAGATTAAGACTAATTAGGAATATGACACTTTTGTAATTTCATCCTATACAATTATAGTTGGTGAGCATATGCAAGATATCCACCGAATTTTTGAATATATTGATTATATGATCATAATATCTTGAGATGCATAACCAACTATTCAAATTAATTGATTCACATTCTATTGGCATTGTCCATTTAGTGTATGGATTGCAAAGCCACAAATAATCGAGTATAAATTAAAAAAGTAAAACATAACGTTGAAATCCGCTAAACAATCATATAATTAAGCTAAAGATGTCCATAGAATGGTCATAATTCTATGATAAGGACTTTTGGCCGTTCATTTGTCACGATCCAAAAATGGGTGTGATGGCACTCGTCTTATCCCACCAAGACAAGTCAGCCTAAAACTCAACCATTACAATAAAGTGCGGAAGTAAAATATAAGTAACTTAATAAAAACCCCAAAACCTGGTAGTCACGTGTACAAGCCTCTAAAGTATTACAATTGATTCAAAAGAAAACTCAAGTCTCCAATGAAGTTGTTTCTAGAATAGAACAAGATCATAATTAAGGAGAAGAAAGTCTGCTGCGATGGAAACAGCTACCTGACAAATCTCCAAGAAGCCTCGGAAAAGAAGAGAATGACAAGTACAACAAAAATCCAGGCTCATAACCTACAAAAATTTGTAGAAACAAGGGGTGAGTACCAAACCACACGGTACTCAGCAAGTAAACGTCTAAACACAAGCTAAGGGGATGAAATACGGGTAATCCTACCACCCCAACCGAACCTCCACAATTACAACTGCATAAAATTCAGTCTAACCTAACAGTTCATATTTACATAGCACGTAACTCTACAACAACACTTAGACAAATTACATATACATCCTCCACAACCACACTTTACCAAATTACATATCCTCAATAACAAGCTCAGTATTCATCAATCACAAATTTTGCAGAAAGTCAATCACAAGATCAGCAAAACACAATATCAAGTTCACCAATGATAAGTATGCGTAATGCAATGTCAAGTATAATGATGCATGTCTGACCTAGTGATACACATCCGCTGTCTCTCAATCCGGGACCCATGGGGGGACATATCTGTCCATGCATCTGTCGCGGCGCGCGACACGACCCTCGATAATAGTAACCATCGCGGCGCGCGATACATCCCTTGAAATATAGTATCTATCGCGGCGCGCGATACGTCCCTGTCATCAAAATAATGCAATGGCATGTTCATACAAAAATAAAGAGGATATCACTATTTTAATAACATTGCACAATTCACAACAACATCAACAATGATTCAACAAGTCTTTCAAATCATTCTCCATTATCAACACATCACACACAACCCATTATTCACATTGCCTTTTATTACCCTTTTGTTTTCCTCATTAGAATTAATCAATGTGGACAAGTCAACCCATCACCAAGTCCCATTACTCCCAAACATATAGCACAAGGAAATACACGCATTCCATACACTTAACAAGAGTTTAGAAATTCACTTACCTTAGCCAATCGAATAATCACTCTAGGACTTGAGCCTTTCCTTTCTGTTGACCTTCCAATCGATGCAATCTATTCAAGTATATATTCATAATAAGGTTTCGAAACTAACAACACCCACATTACTATAGGTTTAAGCCTATACTCAAAAGATCAATCAATCTATAATCAAGTTCTTAAGTTTCAAGCTTAAGTTATGTCCTAATTCTTTTCCAATATCATAAAACTAATGGTATTTATATAAGATTATACACCTAATATTTAATTACCTATTTCAATATAGAAAAACATGAATTATATGGTTATTATATAAAAAAAAATATGAAACCGAAACCACTTGCGGAATGATACTTAAACTTACAGAACCATACTTAAACTTGAACTAATAGTAGAACGTTATTTGTGCATTTACACTATACTATGCCATCTTCCAATGATTGGATTATCATTGGTCATATTTACTCCATAATTCATCCACTAAAATTGCAAACAAGTGACCCATAAATGATATTTGCCAATTAGTTGTTAAAAAAAATATTGGCAGGGATTGAAGATCAAAATTCCTTAATTACCTACATATTATAATAATAATTTAAAAGGAAAAACATATAACAAATTTGTATCACCTGAAACTCGTCTTTTGATTTCTACGACGGCTCCCTTTCCACAAGTTATTTTCATTCTCTTCTTCTTTTCTCAAAGTCATGACCCAAAAATCCTCAACCCTAATAATTTATTTTCTTATATAGTCAAGTGGTATTAAATAAATTAAAAACCTGATCCATTAATTTTTAACTAAAATTAACTATTTAATAATTAAATTTTAATTAATTTACTCTAGTTAAATAAATATTTGAAAATTTCAAAAATGACCATTTGGATAATTACATCATTATTCGGTTTCACAAAGTTTGAAGAATTCATTAACAACATAGAAAAATATTCTAAGTTAGAGTTCAAAAGTAAAACTAGAATAATATGGACTCTTTTTAAAATGCATAACTATAGTATTTAAATAGTTTTAAAACATCTTGGGGTGCCCATATTCAAAATAGTTTTTCAAAATAGATTAAAATCGGTTTTAAATGACTTTAAAAAAAAAAGTTAAAAAGTAAAAGTAAATCTTCCTTTACTTTTTATTTTTTGATTTAAAAGTCATTTAAATTTGACTTTTTATATTTTAACTTATAAACTACCTTTTTTTTTAAGTCAATCCGAACGAAAGCAAAAGCAAATGAGCAATGTGTTGGGTTTTATTTGCCCTAAATTTCTTACCATAAATAGGTTTTCCTTGTAGGAAAAAGTTTTGGATTGACTAATCTTTTTCTTGTAGGAAAGAGTTTAGGACTCTATAAATAGAGGCATGTTCCTTCTAACTTA